CCGGGAGCTGCTGCCGCTGCAGTAGCGGCAAAGGAGACGCGGGCGCAGCATTCGCCGTCGCCTCTCTGCAAGCCCTGCCTTAACCCGCCGGGACGCAGCCTGGCCCTGGGGTCGCCGCCCCGCTTCTCCTCCGCCGAGCTACGGGAGGGCGCCGTGGGGAAGAGACTTCGCCCCTTCGGCCTCCCAGATCCGTTACGCGCGAAGAGGGACGCCGAGGCGCTGGCGACCGGGCGCGACTGCGGAGCCCGAGACGGATCATTGAAGCTACGCCGGATACTTGAAGCAGACCCTCGCGGTTTTTGCCGGGACTTTCAGCGATGGTTCTCGGTCGCTTTTTCTTGACTGCGGAGCCGCTTGACGGGGTGCTGCTGTTTCTCTTTCGGGGAAACAAAAAACAGAGGTGCTACTGCAGCCCCGGACGGCTGCTCTCCAGCCTCCCGCCCAGCCGTTGACCTGTCCCCGTCCCGTCCCCCCGATGATCCGGATCTGCCTTCCGTGCTGGAGTTTGCGCCTGCCACCGGGGCGCCGACGCCCTACCTCTCTCGCTCTTGGTTCTCCGGGTGGAAGCGCAAAGAAGGGACCATCCCGCGTGGCATTGTCTAGCGTGACATCCTCGCGCGCGCGCCTGGGTGCGCGGGTGGGGTGGGAGGGCATGGGCTGTTGAATAGTAAAGACCTGGCCGCGTATGATGGGGAGGGGAGGGGAGAGGAGGGGTGGGCGCCGTAGACGCTGCTGGGTACAAATATAATCCGGTTGGAAAACCATGCCCTTCCCTTCTCCATCTTTCTCGCCAAGGTCACCCCTTTTCTCCCCCCACCCCGTGTTTTGGTGTCTTGCTGTGTTCCCCAGGCAGGTGGCCATGGTACTGTAATCCTATCCCTGCTTGTTTTGACTGGGCTGTGGGCAAACCCTGGGTGTTTTGTAACGGCTGGGAGTCTCCTGAGGACGAACACGTTGGTCCAAGCTTCCCTCTCTCTCCCCCCTCCTTCTTTCCAAAAGCTCCTCCTCTCCCCACAAGCTGGGTTTCTCAGAAAGGGGGTCATATTACAGCAGGCTTTCTAGGAAAACTGCCCCAGTAACTGTCCCTGGGGTGGGGGGAGTGGGGGAGAGGTTCTCCATGCAGAAGAAAGCCCAGAGGTTTGCTTGTTGGTTCCTGTATTTCAAGGCAAGTCAGTATGCCCCCAAAGAAGGAAATAAAGATTTGCCCCTGTTTCTGATTAGCCGAAGAGGAAAATTCCATTTCTGAAGACCCCTGCCTGCACCCTCCCCTCTGCAATTTCTCTTCCTTTGGGGCATTCATAGTTGTTGTTTTTAAAACTAGAAATACAATCTCTGTCCTGAATCTATATGAAGCCATTTTTTTAAAAAAAATGTGAATCTAAAAGCTGGAAAGCAGCTGGCTTCAACTGAACATCGTCAGAGGTTGTGGATGAAGAGGAACTCTGTTCACAGAAGGTAGCTAATCACAAGCTTTTTAAAATAAAAACAATAAAATGTATATGTATATGTATATGCGTGCATGCACACATACACTCTGGTTTAATCAGCAGAAGCAGCTGTTGGCAGGTATGTGTGTATAAGTGCTTTTATGCATATATATATATATATATATATATATATATATATATATATATATACTACTACTATATACTACTACGTACGTACGTAGTTGTTG